AGGGCTTCGGCCTAGCCAGCAGCAGCAGCAGCAGCAGCAGCAGCAGCAGCAGCAGCAGCAGCAGCATGGCTGCCCCCCGGGCGCTGGAGATGCACCGGCACCCCTTTTACCCGCCCCTTGCTGCAGAAGAGCTGCAGCAAAGAGACAGTCTCCTCGCGCAGTGCCCGGGGGCGCTGGACTCGCCCAGCAGCAGCAGCAGCAGCAGCAGCAGCAGCAGCAGCAGCAGCAGCAGGGCGCACTGGGGCAGCCTGGACTGCAGCAAGGGCCGCAGCAAAGTGCGCCGCAGCTGCTTCGGATTTGCTGCTGACGGCAGCAAAGTCCTCGCGGGTTCTCATGATGCTGTTGTTGCTGCTGCTGCTGCTACGCTGTCTGTACACCTCAGCCTTGCTGCTCCCGGTGTGGGGCTCGTGCTGCCCCACCCAACGCACCCCCAGCTGCTCGCTGTCGGCTGCCAGGTCTGCTGCTGCTGCTGCTGCTGCTGCTGCTGATGCTGCTGCTGCTGCTGATGCTGCTGTCGGTGCTGCTGCTGATGCTGATGCTGCTGTCGGTGCTGCTGCTGCTGCGGGTGCTGTCGGTGCTGTTGCTGCTGCCGGTGCTGCTGCTGCTGCTGTCGGTGCTGTTGCTGCTGCCGGTGCTGCTGCTGCTGCTGCTGTCGGTGCTGTTGCTGCTGCCCACGCCGTCCATTCGGGTGCCTGCGTTTACGGCGCGTGCTGCTGCTGCTGCACCTGTTGCTGCTGCTGCTGCGAAGCTGTTGCTGCTGCAGCTGCTGCTGCTGCTGTAGCTGCTGCTGCTGCTGCTGCTGCTGCGTGTTGGTGTGCGGGTGCAGGGCCCGAACCGGTCGGGTTCCGTGTTGAAGGTGCTGGACCTGCGGCAGCAGCCGCCGCGTTCGTTTGCTGCCAGCAGCAGCAGCAGCAGCAGCAGCAGCAGCAGCAGCAGCAGCGAGGTGGGGGTGGCGGGGTGTACGTACACCTCGGCCTTCGGAGACGAGTGGTGGACCGGCGCTTGGCATCCCTCAGGTTCTTACTTGGTGTGTATAGACAAGAGAGACAGGCTGCACTGTCTCCTTCCGGGCCACACCAGCCAGCAGCAGCAGCAGCAGCAGCAGCAGCAGCAGCGCAGCAGCAGCAGCAGCAGCAGCGGGCTGCAGTGTGGGGTGCTGCAGCTGGAGGCCGTGACTTACGGCTGCTGCTTCGCGCTGGGGGGCGAGGTGTTAGTTGCTGCTCAAGAAGATGGTTGCTGTTTGCTGCTGCCTGCTGCTGCTGCAGTGGACGGCGCTGCTGCTGCTGCTGCGCTGCAGCTGCCGCTGCTGCAGAGCCCCGCAGTCGTTGCTGCTGCAGCAGGCACCCGCGGCTCCGTCTTTGCTGCTGGAGGCGGAGACGGCAGCATTCAGCTGCTGCAGTCGGAGACACTGTCTCCTTTGGGATCGGTTCCCAAAGCAGATGTGGGGCTGCAGTGTCTCGCCCTCAGCAGCGACGCTGCTGCCTTCGCCTGGGCCACCAAGCGGGCCCCCCCGGACCAGTAAGCAGCAGCAGCAGCAGCAGCAGCAGCAGCAGCAGCAGCAGCAGCGGCAGCAGCAGCAGCAGCGGCGGCGGTTGGGTGGTGGCTGTGGCAGTGCCGCAGCGTAGTTTTAGCGGTTGCAGTGCCTGCTGCTGCTGCTGCTGCTGCTGCTGCTGCTGTAATTGTAGGAGCAGCAGAGCGGCAGCAGCAGCAGCAGCAGCAGCAGTAGTAGGTAGGGGTTGGGGTAGTAGAGGCTGTTGCTGCTGCTGCTGCAGCAGCAGCAGCAGTAAAGCTTTTTAAGACGGCGCTGCAGCTGTCTCCTTCCTGTCCCCTTAGCTTCTGCTTCCTTGCGCGCACTCTGCTGCTGCTGCTGCTGCTGCTGCTGCTGCTGCTGCTGCTGCAGGGAGCCGCTGCTGCGGCGGCTGGAGGAGCCGACGAGAGCAGCAAAGCACCGGCTGTCAGTTGCTGCTGTGTCTCCTACTGAGCTGCTGCTGCAGTTGGAGACACCTGGGCAGGTGACAGCAGCAGCATTTCATCCTTACAGGAGACTCTTGGCGCTGGCTTGCGACGTGGACAGCAGCAGCAGCAGCAGCAGCAGCAGATACGGCAGCAGCAGCAGCAGCAGCGCCAAGAACCTGGGCATTCTAGTGCTGGAGTGATGCACCACTGCAGCAGCAGCAGCAGCTGCTGCTGCTGCTGCTGCTGCGCATGGAGCAGCAGCAAAAGCTTCAGCAAAAGCAGGTGCAGCTGCTGCAGCTGCTGCTGCTGCTGCTGCAGCAGAGACTGCTGCTGCAGCAATCTTTGTTTATTTGCGATTTGACTGTCGAATAGGCAGCTCAAAGAACCGAATTTAAGGTCAAGGGTTTAGGGTTTAGGGTTTAGGGTTTAGGGTTTAGGGTTTAGGTTTTAGGGTTTGAAAGTTCAGCCAGAGACTGTTGCTGCTGCTGCTGCCAGAGGCCGTTCCTGCTGCTGCTGCTGCTGCTGCTGCTTTGCTGCCACAGGC